TCTAAAGGTTGCCTGCTTCTCAGGCAACCGCAGCAGCCATTACCTAGTGGATTCATGTATGGCTGTTTGTAGATAGCTGCTGCACTTGTACTATTTTTTGACTCTCAATATCATCTGATACCCTGTATTTTTATTGGTTTCTCATTCTTTCTTCCTTCTAGGAGTGTAGTTTTTCAGGTACTTTGTGCTGCACAATGTGCAATGTAGCAGGCAAAGATTTTCTGCTCGCCTTATTTGTTGGACTCCACTAGCATTTGATTCTTCTTATTCTTGTTCCGTTCTACTTGTCCTCTCCTTTTGCGAATGCCTTCATTTTCTCTTTGCTTTGTTTGGAGGAATTAAGCATAAAATAAATATTGTTAACTAATATTTACATCTCGGTTGTTTGGTGTAATTGAAGTTGATAAAAGTTAGTTTGACAATATATATATATAACATGGACATATTTGTCTTTATCATATTTTCTTAAATTTTGAAGTTTGCTAAATATTTGGTTTTGTTCAAAAAATGAAAATTACTTTTTCACTCAGTTTCTCCTAATTCAAACGAATGGACAAAGACAATTTTGGATTCATTCCCTTTAGTGTTTCAATTTTTATTTCATTTTCTTTTCCTCAAGTGGATGAGTGGCTTTACATCATAAAATTATACTCGTTACAATTACGTCCTGATGGTATCCATTCTGCATAGTTTCTTATATGCTTGTATGATGAAGTAACTTTTTCTTCTATATTCATGAAGAGAATTCTTCATAAGGATCATTTTGTTTCATCATCTTCTTCATCATGATTTGGTTAGAAAATATTAGGAATGACCTTTCTTTATTAGATTTATACGAGAATTTGACTTTTAATAGGACACAATGGAGAAAAAGGATTCATGTAGTCGACCCCACGTAGTGGGATAAAGGCTTGATGTTGTTGTTGTTGTTGTTGTTGTATCTTCTTCATCATGATTTCTTGAATTTGGAAAATATTTATGAAATTGTTTTAGTTTAAATCATAAAATAAGTGAGAATAACATACTCATTTTTATCATATTCTTCTTCATCATGCTTTCTTTGATGCGGTGTGGTAAGCATTTCTCATGTTTATTGTGGTTGCAATTGGGTTAAAACCCATGGTACAGTGATCCATTATTCTCTACTTCATGGATTTGCTATTATTTTTATAGGGTTTGGTGATGCTTGATGAGCATGTTTTAATTCCAAGTATTTCCTAACATATTGCTTCCCAATATAAATGTGCTATGTGTGGTAAAAATTTCACTTTACCATAATATAGTTGAAATAGGGTTTATATGAAAATGATCAGGTGATCCATCAACCCCTTTTATAGGAATTTCCTGTTGAATTAAGCATAAAATAAATATTGTTACCAAATATTTACATCTCGGTTGTTTGGTGTAGTTGAAGTTGGTAAAAGTTAGTTTCACCCAAAAAAAATATTACATGCACATCTGCATTCATACAGAGATTTCTTTTGATGTTAGATATGTAAATGCATAGATTTTGTGATATGAATGTAATTGATCTATCTTATTTCATGGATTTAGTTGTCATCCACTTGTTCATCGACTCTTTTTCTTCTTCTCCTTCTTTATCTTTCCTTTTTGTTATAAAATCCTTTCATGTTTTAGGTGCAATATAATGAGCAGTGTGGTAGCTGTGAAGTTCTAATCATTCTTTTATGACTTTTGTAGATGTATATTTGTAGTGGATAGCCTTCTTGTGGAAGAAGCATGGCTGCTTGTGTTGTTGTACCAATATTTCTTGGTGTTGTGGCTTTTATCCAATATCAATGATTAATACTTATCTTTTTTAGAAAGGTGTTGATGGAGTTACTGTTTGCCATCTTTCCATGAATCTTCCATGTCCATGCCTTCTTGTGGAAGAAGCATGGCTGCTCCCGTTGTTGCTTCAGATGAAAATATCAGACTTTCCGATCCGACAGGAAGGGAAAGTCGTCGAAGGAGCGTAATCCAACAGCCAAGAAGGTGTGGAAGAAGCGACGCCTGCAATCTCTACACCTGCGAAGCAACGAAGCCGAACAACAATGACGAAAGGCAAACCCTAGACACCTCTAAGTTATTATTGATTAACTTAATTAATATAATTTAAAATATTAATAACAATCTGAACTAAGCTTCTGTTCGTTTCCCAAAATTTTGATATGAATTTAATTCCCCGTTTATTATTTCATAGATTCATTTGTCATCCATTTGTTCATCGAACTCTTATGCTTCTTTTTCCTCTTCTTCTTCTTATTTTTCTTTCCTTTTTTGAATAAAGTCCTGATATGTTTTGAGTGCTATATGATGTTCTGTGTGGTAGATTTGAAGTTCTAATCATTCCTTTATAATGTCTTCTTCAACCGAAAAACCTATTTTCCACTTCAAAATGCAGCAAGGGACAAATCAAGCAACAATTCATCTCCAACTGACCACCATTTATAACACTGTCATCCTTGTTTTCTACATAGCATAGCATATGATGGTGGCTTTACATAGCATATGATTGGATAGGAACACTTGTATGGAAAGGCAAGAATTTCTTATCAGACATGGCTGCTGCTTCTGATTCTGTTAGTCAAGACTCCATAGTCCATACCTGTCTGCATTTGTTGATGGCGAGGCATATTGAAGAGCTCTGTTGGGAGAAATTATTCCATACTCCAATTAGAGGGGGTTGTCAAGTGTACTTTACGGAATATGAGGTGCGGAGATCGGATGTAGAGATACGTCTTGCACTTTAGTTACACTTTGACTGATTTTTTATTGCACTTTTTTACTGTGCTTGAATGCACTTTATTTGCGCTTTGGCTACGATTTTGTGCGCTTAGCATAAAGTTGAGAATTTGACTTTTAATAGGACACAATGGAGAAAAAGGATTCATGTAGCCGACCCCACGTAGTGGGATAAAGGCTTGATGTTGTTGTTGTTGTTGTAGCTGTGTTTGGACTTTACACGCAATAATTTCTACTCGATTGACAACTTCTGTAGTTTTATGGCTCAAGTGGTGTTTAGTTGCTAATTGTGGTTCTCTAATGCTATGAAATCTTATTTAATAAGTTGTTAAATGTTTTATTTATTTGCAACTATGAATTATTAAAATTTGAAAATTATTAACTATCAATTTTTAAACAAATTTAATTAAGCTATTGAAATTAAAAGTAGCATAGGCTAATTTACTTATTATTGATTAAGAAATAATTCATAAATATTAGTTAGATAGTTATTTTACTTAATAATAAGAAATAATTATAATGTTAATTTATGAACAATTTTGTTATTCATTTTATTGTAAATTTTTATAACAATTGACTTGTTAATTTAATAAAATAATATTCATAAATGTTAATAATTTGTAAATTAGTAAAAGAAAATATTTTATATGCATTAATATGTTTAAACATATTAATCTTTGTATTTAATTATACATATATATTAGTTTTTCTTCTCAAACATAAATTGCATGTTATTTAAATAACTTGAAGTTGTTAATATTATAACTTAATTTTGAGACTGAAATATTATGTTAATTGAAATTAATAATACTTTTCTATAATATAAATTGATATGAATATTATTCCTCATAAGTAATTTATATTTAGGCTATATATTTTTTAAATTAATCATTAAATAAATAAGATTAAGTTGAAGAAATATTTAAAAAACTAATGATTTATTGTTACTGTAAATACTAAATAGAGAGTGAGCATAAAAAAGCTGATCGTGTCAGAAAACGGGTATTTATATATTTCTATAATTTTATGCTCTTATGTTTTTCTTATGGTTTTGCCACAGCGTTAGGCCTGTCTATGGATTGTGATTCCTTGTCACCATGTTCTCGTCGTTGCAGTGTTCTTTGCGTGAACCAGCGGTTTGAAGGTATCCCGAAGCTTCTTCACCATCTGTAACAACTATCTCTCTTTTAGTGCGCTTCTTCTCCTCAATCCCGTACCGATCTTTTGGATTTTCTAAATCCGGTATTAAACGTCAATCAGAGTCACGGAGAAGCCTGAAAATATGTTGAGGGGATTAAATTATTTTATTAAAATTTTTCTTTAACTTTTTTCATCTAGGCTTAGGATCGGCATAGACAGTTTTAAAATTATTTTATTTACTAAATATAAAATGACATACACTTACAATTTATACTTTATGTTCTTCATATTTTGAAATAACTAAATAATAACATCATTGTGAATGCAATCTAAAATTTATTTTTCAATATAAGCGATTAATGTATCGTTCATCCATTGATCTCCAATTCGATTGCATAGCCGATTTTTTATGATTGTCATCGCAGAAAATGCTCTTTCAACTCATGCTGTTGCAACGGGTAGTATTAATGCCAACTTCAAAAGCCTAAAAACAATGGGATATAGTATATCCTTCCTACTATGAACCATTTTTTCAACAAGACTTCAGATATCTTTTAATAATGAAAATTTTACATCAAGCTGCAAATCCATAATGTAAGTTTCTAGCTAATTATCAAGAATCATCAAATCAGAAGGACTGAAATCACTTCGATATAAGTTTGCCATAACAATTAACTTTTCTTTGTTAAATGCACTAAACGAATTTGATGGATTTAAACAAGCAATACACAAAAGTAATTCAGTATTGACTATAGTGAAACGATTATTCAACTATTGTAATTGCATATCAAGTACTGTGTAGAATATATCGACTCGGTAATAATGCAAATTTGTCATTTCTTGTAGTCCACGTCGTGATCGTCCACGGGCAACCCATTTATCATTTAAATTCGGAGTTATTATTTTGTGTTCAACACAAAATAAAGATACTTTTGATATGAAGTCATCCCACTTATTATCTTTCATGTCTTGTAATCTGATTTTTGATATTTGAACTAACGACATGGCATTCATGATGTCCTGATCTTTCCTTTGTAAAGCATCTGATAGTTCAGAAGTGATTCCAAGAATGTCTTTTATTTAGTGTAAACAAAAAGTGAAGTCAAAAGATTGAATTGAATCTAATAATGCAAATGCTTCTCTTCTTTGTTCAGAACTTATGCCATCATCCAAAGCTATTTCAAGCACATCAACAACTAAGGAGAACATTGTAATTAATCTAATTAGTGACTCATAATGAGAACCCCAAACTTACTTTTAAGGAAGTCATGATTACAAGACTAACATGGTCCTTTTTGCAAATATGTTCTTCAAATTTGATCACGAATATTAAAACTATATTCATAAATAGGTATACGTAAACCAGGAACTGATTGAAGGTTCTCTAGATTTGTTGGCTCGTTGTTTGACGTTTCACCGGATGTTCGATTTCCTTTTTTATTTTTTTCATCATCATTCTTTCTTGAATCTTCTATTGGCGAGACCTTCTTAAAATACTTCTCCATAATCTTTGAGCAAAATTAAACTACCTAAAATATATATAACTCAAGTGTCAAATGATAAAAGTCAATCTAAAAAAAAAAAAAAAAAAACAGGGACACAAAAAACTTAATGAATTAGAACACATTATAATCAATAATTTATTCGTAACAGATATAATAAATAACTTTGTTATCAAGAACTTCAAAGTCATTTATCACTAAATCTAAATGCCTAGAGAACAACTGACTTGTTTTCTCCTCTTTTACTCGCCAATTTCAGCTTGACTACTCTGTTAGATTTTCATGGAAAAAAATAGAAGAGTCGGAGAGATTCAGACAAATTCAACAAAAAACTTAAGAATCAACTAAGGCTTCAAACAGACAAATTCTTCAAAAAAGTTAAGAGAAATTCTTCAAAAATTAAAAGACTATCGTAATTAAGGAATCAACTATGGCTTCAAACATATTACATCAAATGAAAGGATACACTCATACACAACAAAATAAAATGAAATCTTAAGAGATTTTGATTGTTACTTACCTTCAGGAGTTCAGGGCTGCAGCCTGCCTTCAATCGGAAAACTGAAGATGGGAGAGTCGGAGATACTGAGAGAATATGCGAGCAAATGCGACGATTGCTGCCTTGCTGGCTGCCCGCTGCCGGCTGGACGAACTTTTGGAGAAACTGCTGCGTCGCCGTCGCCCAGTCGCGCTGGAGCCGGAGCCGAACCGCGAACGAACTTCCTTCTCCCCTTCTCCGTGCGGAACAGACGAAGGAATAAATGGGAATAGCCGAAATATTAGGGCAAAAATATGTTGAACCGCTCAAATACACCAAGGCATATCATTTTTTTATTTTATTTTTTTGCGGAGGGGGCACGTGCCCCCACGGGACCCTGTGTGGCTCCGCCGTTGAATAGAGAAGCAACGATGATTCGCTCTTACAGGGATTATGCTGGTTTGAACGAGGAAGATTTGAAATATGTGCAGATTAGGGGTTATAAAAACTCCAAGCCCACACGCACATTTTGATAAAGAAACGTTAAAGTTATTATACTTTTATAACTTTATAACGTGCTCCTAGTAATATTTTTAATTAATGTGATGTCAATGCAGTTTGTGTTTGTTATAGTTGATGTCAAGGTAGTAATAATATTATGCCAGTATCCTCATCAAACAGTGGCCAATAAACCTTCTATGATATGACGTGAAAAAGGCTTGCATAATTATGTTGGTATAACTCTGTGCTGTAGTATAGTGAGACAAACGTACTATAACCCCATCTTCTTGCTCCAGCAACTACAATAGCATGCAGGCAAAGCATTTGATATAATTGTGGCTTATGAAAACTACAGATACAAAACATCGAACACCTGGTACTCCTGGTTATTTATGCAAATTGGGGTTGGACAGCGACATGCTTCACCCTCGTATCGGTCTAACGAGCTCCTTATCAGCAGGGTAAACAGCCTTCGTTCATTCTTCATTTTTTTTTTTGGTATTACTTCATATATATTGCTTCTCTACTCAATGCAGTTCTTCTAAAATTGATAATAGTCTATCACCTATGTAAGTTTGAGGGGCTTTTGTATTCATTATAATTTTTATGCATGCAGGTGAAATCGTGGAATCTTTCCTGATGAGAAGGGACTTCTTTTTCGGTCTATCGGAGGCAATCTACTAAAGCTGAGCCGTTAATTTTTTTGCCCTTCCTCTGTTTTTTGGCTTTACATGTGTTTTTACACCATTCTGGTGATGTCTCTCTTGCTGCCTGTGTAGCTCTCTCACAATTTTGCTCTTTTTTTTTCTTTTTACACATGTAACTTGTTCTTTTTACTTAATGAAATTGGTTTTTTATTTAATTAAGGTTTTTTTGTGCCACTAAAAATGTTGTCGGAAAAAGGTTAGAATTTGATAGTGACAAGAAGCTCCGTTGGAATATTCTATATTTAGATAATGCATTAAAAATGACGAAATACAGTTCTAAAGAAACAATAAAAGAAATCCTTCACATCAATAATTACCCAAACCAAGATTTGATACACCTTGAAATATTAGATGATGCTTTTCATCTTACAATATTGCAACTCATTTGGATTGATAAACTTAGAATAAATTGACTTCAAAAATTGTAATTTCTTCACAACAATATGCATAATTTTATCAGATGAGGAACATAAGCAAAATATAAAAAATTTATAAATGTAATTCACTCTTGATTCTAAGACCAACCAATTCCTATCGTGCTTGCATATTATCTTTGAATTTAAGGTGGTAGTAAATTATACTCCTAATAAGGCAACACAAAAAAAATTTCTTCTTCCAAAATTGTGGAAAACCTTATTGTTTAGTCAACAATTCATTGTCCTCTTTTAAAAGTTTTGAATTCATTTATAAGAAAATGTACACCATGTAATTATTGTAAGATATAACAGCAGTGTTTCTTTGAGGTGCTTTGTGGACCTCCTCTATGTTATAAAAAATTGTTTTTGGCGACAAAATAAATGATTATAGGGAAGCCAATGATGATAACCCATATATGAGAATTTTTTTCTCTCTATAACCATAAAGATTTTGTATTTTGGGCTTAACAAAGACATGTAGATCTTCCTTTTATGCTCCAATAAGAAGAGAATTTAGGGTATTTAGAGTCGAAGGATTTTCAAGCTTCTCTATTTACTAGATGTCACAACAACCCATATGTATTTCTCTACTTAGCATGTCAACTCATCTCTTCAGTAGATTTTTGAATAATCTTTTAAATTTATGAATCAATAAGAAATATTTGACGAAGTTACCAAACTTCATTCAGACTTTCTTTCCTCATGTACCAATACACCTAGAAGAATCACATATGGCAAATATCTTAATCCGATATATCTTTCTAGAATAGATAATAATTATATGGTTAGGTATCTGTCTTTGTATATCCAAAATCAATTGTTTTCGTTATCTTCTTCGTTTCATATATGTTTAGTAGTGTGAGCACTTTAGACAATAATTGCATGATGAAGTTTTGTGAATGATTTATAGCCAGGATATAATTATGCTCCTACTTTTAGCAGCAAATTGCCAAATTTCATAACATTGTCATTTGGTGGATTTATGTTTTGTTATGTTCATCATCTATGTTAATATTAGTCTTGCTTGAGCCAATTGTGTCCCTTAATAGTCCTATGTCATTTGTGTTTGGTTGGTCGGTTTGAATTGGTACTTCTTCAACTTCAGAAGTGGCAAGCGCCTATATCCTCTCTATGATGATTCCATACAACATATCCAAGAAAAATTCTTTGGAAAGTAAATGTGTCTTGATATCTTTTATGTAATCGAAGTATCTATTGATGAATAATTTATATGGACATAAGATTTTTTGTGTTGACTTCTAAATCGAACTTGCAAATTTTAAAATTTATCAACACCTTTAACATAATCACAACTCCATTTGGGTTTGTTTATCCAACTCATACCCATTTTAACTGAGAAATGAAGTTTCAAATCACTTATATTAAAAATATATATTTTTTTTTCTCAATTAGCACATCGTTTATTTAATATATCTAACATAAATTTAGGATTTCAAATTGACAAACACGTCATAAAGTAAAAAAAAAAAAGTAGACATCTTCCAAAAAATAGCAACCTAAATTAAAGTATATATCTTCAAAAAAGAATAGATATGAGAACGATTGCATAAACACTTGTGTTATAATGCTCGGGAGAAGTATTCTTCAACTCGAAAGAGTTATTGAAGTCCTTGGCTAGAGCTTACAAGGTTGATAATGTGAGTGCAAGCTATTAGATGAATTCCAAGCACAATTGGTTATTAGATATAAGCACTACTTATATGAAGTGCAATTGGCAAACACATGTTGTATACTAATGATCATCCTAATAAGTGTGATGATCTTATTATTTTAATAGCTTGGGATTTTTTATCCCTACTTTGTGGGGGTAATGATATTATATAAGCTTTCTTGATCAATGATGGTGCTTATGGAGATAACATTGTAGTTTGCCCTATTTGGTGTGATGGCCCAATTAATTTGAAATGAAATTATATAAGTTTTTCTTTTTTGTTTTATATGATTCATGTTTGTGTTAAAGATTTAGTTATTTTTACAATAATTTTAAATAAAAACATCTTTCATAATAAATTATTAGAACCTCTTCAATTCACATCAAGTCTCATAAAAGTATAAAGATTTTTTTTTTTTTTTTGGACATTTAGGCCATTTAAGGTAAATTCACACACACAACGCATACACAAAGACTCGAACCCTAAACCTCTTAGTTGGAAGTTTAAGCTCACAACCAACATGCCAAGGTGAGTTGTGTAAGATAAATATTTTTAAATGACTATTTTTTTAAGGAAAATAAAATCCATTAGAAAAGAAGAGCAATACACCACAATACCACAAGATGGCCACATAGAGAAGATTACATCTAGAAAAAAACAATAATCATCAGGGCCAAAAAACAATCTCATTGAAAAAAAGAAAAATACACCCCAAAATCAAATGGACTCAGATCGTCACTTAGTTGTTAAGCATTGGCCATCCAAGGAGGCAAGGAAAGTAACAACCAAAATTTCAAGACAACAAGACCTCAAAATTCCAAATCTATTAAAATTGAAGAGAAAGAACCACCGAGATTGTCAACCAAGCCCTGGCCATCTAAGGTACATGCAGGAAATCTGCTTCATCATTGTCCTGTCCCGATTCCATCGTAGTAAATAGAAAGCAACAGCAAAAGTACCCAAAATAACTACAACCACCAAACTTCCAAAAAGGAAAATCATTTCTTTTTGGATTTTCGTTTTCTATGCTTAATACTACTTTTGAAATAACCAACATCCACAATTTTAAGAAGGCTTTAGTCAAAGTTGTCTCAAGCATCCAAATCATTCTCAATAATTTCCTCCCCTCTTGCAGAAGAATTGTCATCATGTAACTAATCACCTTGCCTCACAACATTATTCCTAGCAATGTGAGCTAACATATAAACACCGGAGATAATAGATATATGCACATCAACCAGAGGCACCACAATTCTCCCATTACCCAGCTCAACCGAAGCTTCACCACCCCTAGAAACTAAAGAAACCGAATTATCACCTAACACCTCCACAACATCAGCACAAGTAGGACTAGCTATAAGGTTAATGCAATAATTATTGACATTCATGGAAACATTAACACCATCTACACTATCTATATTAGTACAATCAATAGCTAAAGGCACCACATCCTCCTAGCATAAAGGGGATCATCCAAGGTTAAAACAGAAGCCAACGAACCAGCAGCATCCCCGACAAGAACATCAGTAAGACCCAGACCCAGCGCCAAATCCTTGGCAATAAAAGAAACAACATTATCCAAATCCAAACTCAAAACATTGACACTAGTATCCAAAACAACAGGACTAATAGGGGGCTAAAGACACTGGTTCAGATGAAACATTCACAGCTAAAGGAAGCTCCACATCGACTTCCCCACACCCAAGCAACACATTATCACCAACAACAATTGAGGGGCCCGACCAAGAAGCAACCCCATCACCTTGATACAATATCCATCTCCCAGGTCGCAACCCTAGTATTAAAATTTCAACCAGCAACAACATTTTGCAAAACACCAATTTTAATTTTGACCGACTTAATAAGATAAAAAGAACTATACCCCCCCCCCCCCCCCCCCCCCCCCCCCCCCCCCCCGCACATGCCCAATAGATTTACAGTGAATACAAAATGGAGGGAAAGCCTCCATTTCAACTAGCTAGATGTAACCAAACTTTTTTTGGACCAATCCACACTTTGTCCGCATACGTTTTAGTGATGTCAGGCTCAACCAACACACATGCAAGAGAAGACCGAGAGCCCATAGATGTGGTATTGTCAACTTTTAGCGGATGACCAAAAATCGATCCTAAAGTGTGAATGATTCAGGGAGTGAAGAGATGAGGGCGTATATTAGGGAAGGAAATCCAAAAACGAATAACATGACATTTAACACCAATATCAATGGAAGGAGACCATTTAGTTAATTTTATATAACAATTATAAACTAAGTAAGATCTGTGGCAGAACATTGATATAATATATGTCATTCATTAGCTTAATCAGAACATGTGTTGAGTCTAGCAAAGTAATCGAAAAATCGGCATTGAGCTTTAGGTTGAAAAAAAAATCTACGGATGGAGTCCAAGCTAGGACGTCGGGATAGAATAAAACCAATTAGCGAAAACTAGAATGGAACTACAACCACAAGGATCTCTTCATCGAAGATCCACAAAGAAGGCCATCCATGGAAGGATGACATTTTGAGCTCAGGAAAACACATATCAGAGGAAGAACCAGATAAAGCATCAACGAAAGAATGCGATTCGTTGGAATCATTCAAAAAACCAGGATCCAAGAAACGATTCAGTGCCATTCTAATCGTGAACAGCCAGAAGAGGACGAAAAACCAAACAAAAATAAACAAAACCTGCAAAAGGAAAGGAAAGAGGAGCTTTCCTGAAGTTACAGCAGCACCAAGAGTCGCCGAGGAGAAGCTCCGGAGAGATGGGAGAGCAAGACCTAGACGTCTCGGGAGCGGGAGAGGCGAGGATCTGAATTAGTTGTTAATTATTTTTAAATGACTATTATAACTCATTTCCTTGATTATTGTGGCATGCATTGAAATCACAATTAAGAAGCAAAAGTAGGATTAAACTCTTCAACATGTGGAGATATTAACCCAGGGCATTCTCATACACATATATCCATATTTTTCTTCATCAAAGATCCATATTTCTTATCAAATAAGACAATGATGTATATCTCAACCAACACATCAGCAATAAAACAATTCAAAGCTAAGCAGATGACTAGAAGAATATCAGAACTAGAACTTATTTAAATATTTCTCTATTATCATTATTTTAAATTTCATAATGTAATTAGCTTCTCAAAATGGGAAACAAAACAGCGGGTAAAAGATGATTGAATGGTGACAAACAAACAAATATGAGAAGGAAAAAAAATTGGCAAAGTAATCAGAGTTTAACCAAAATAATGCGGATTGCTGGAGAATTTGAGCTGCAGGACTCCAATGATGATGAGACTAAAATGGCGAACTCGGCGGCAACTAGACTCATTGGTGTCAGTGACGAGACTCAGACGAGTAGATGAATCTCGACCCTCGCTCGTCTGAGTCTCGTCACTGATCAAACCAAGAAAAGAGAAAAGAGCGAGAGGAAAGCGATCAATCGAAACATAGGAGGGCGCCAAGTGAGTAATGTAAGGAACGCTATAAGGAATTAGGGTTTTGAATTGCAGTTTACTAAGGGGTACAACGACTATCAAAACCGAGAGAGATTGTTAGGAACTATTGAACTGGGCAAAGAGCTATTGAGGGCTACTAGCTGAGGAGTTTTCTGATAGACTTTCATAAGCCATCGATAATTATAAACTGGCATCCAAATATTGTATATCATGATCATAAATAGCTAAGGAATGTTGGACTCTAATGAGGAACTATAGAGACCATACATACGTAGAATATATTCACATAGACTTCAAATGCTATAAATAACAAATTCCACAGAACATACAAAGAACATTGGCTTGAATATAAGTTTTCAGGAAACAAAGAGAAAATAAAAAATGAACGATTATATGTACAATGACTTGGGAGTACTAGAACAACAAGTCATGCAAGCTTATCACCAACTAGTAAGTGCTTAATGAAACATAGTAATCATATCTCAGGCTATCACTGGGCATCCTTTGGCGACCACTCCAGGAGCTGTAGGGCAATTTGCAAGGGGACAGAAGTCACTTGCATCGCCTCCCACCCAACTAATTCCACCAATATCATTGTATTGTAAGGCAAAGAAGATGAGAACTCCCATGAAAGCGACTCCGGCATCGAGGGCAGCCGACATTACGTAGGTGTGCCTTGCCCACCATTCCTTATATTTGTTGTAAATGTAGTAGTTGAAGAAGATGCCAACAGCACCCCAGGTGATATAGTTCACTGTGTGTGCAGGAGGGATACCACCAGCACCTCCAATAATGAGAGGTAAATGGATGTATTTGAGCCATTTGCAGTTAGGGAAGACCTTAGAAATCCACCAGAAAGGAATGGGTAGCAAGAATCCAGCAAGGAAGAAGTAGTTCAAAGCAGAGTAGAGACCGAGTTTTCCGAACATTCGCATAGGGCCAACAAGTCCCCATATGATGGATGCATTGTAGAATACATCGTCCCCTGGGCATGTCCATGGACTGTCAGCTGGTAGTTTATCAGTGTCACATATGTTCTCAACTGAATCTAAAAGAAACCATGCAGTTCCAAAGTTGACCGTCGCTGCGATCACGGTCCCTGTCAACTGAGATTTAAAAAAAAAACAATCATGATGATGTTAGATAATGTGGATCACAAATTGTAAATTACTATTAATTCAATACAATTTCGGTAATGAATTTGCTGCTGTTATGAGGGGATTATTTACCACCTTATATTTTTATCATTTATGTCCTTGAATATTATGCTTCTTTGGGACAGCTTTCTAACTACTTCTTAAAACAACTTTTTAGTACAAAAATAGAAATCTGCTTTAAGTAGCAATAAGACAGCCGTCCCAAACAAAGCTGTAGTTATACATAGAGAGTTCAATGTAGTAAAATGCAATCAAAATGCACATGAAAACTGTGTCATGTTCATGAGATTGAAGCATATAAAGTATTAAATGATTTTCTTGTTGCTTAAAGAGGCTAAATTACGAGAAGTTACCATTTTTTATTATATTAGTACTTTTGTAACTCTTGTAAGATGTCATGCTTATGTTGATAGTTATCTAAATAGAAAAAGAATTACCTGTGAGATGAACATAGATCTGGGGGGAATCTTCATATAGTGTCCAAGGTTGAAATCACTGAGAAATGTGAGTGCTTGAGTCATGCTAATATAGCCATATGTCTTGAATGTCACATTTGCTAGGGGCTTTCCAGGTAGAATTAGACCAATGATGTACTCTGTGATGATATTGAGCCCTGGTGACTATTAAATAATACATAAAGTTACCACAAGTTACAACTCAAAACTGGAGATTTGATTGTTTAACATATTAGTGAAGAACTTACCTGGTTTGTAGTTGCTGTAATGACTCCAATAGGTAATGTGAAGAAGAAAGCCATAGCACAACCCAATAATATTCCCCACCATGGAAGTTGCAAAGCTCCACCAAATCCCACACAAGTGAAAATTGAGAGTAGAATCATCAAAATCAAGAGAACATGGAACCACCATTGAGGTATAGCATCATAATTCTTCATCAATCTAGCATGAACATCTAATTTCTTCTCCTTAGAGGAATCTCTGGCTTGTCTCCATGACTGCCAAATATCCCTAACAAATAAAAAAAAAGTGAATAAACATTATTATAAAGCATTCATAATCATCAACTCCAAGGTGTAGTGCTTCTTCTTTTATACTTACTTTCCATTGTGGAGAGCAACATGCATGACCGATGATGTCAAGGTTGCAAATCCTAAGCCATATGTCAAAGCAAACATAATACTCATGTTTATCTTGCTGTAACTCTCCTGTTCTTCAACATTCAAGGTGAAAGTCTTGCTATTAATAATTCGTGTCGTGTTGTACGGTTGCGCAGAAGAGTCGAAGACATGGGACGAGATCATTGGAAAATTCTTTGCCCTGTATATGTTGGTCCAATAGGCAAATGGAAGCATTATATAGATGGCAATGAAGTAGCCTACCATTATGTTAAAGATTGCACTTGCAGGTGTTCCCAATGGGCTACCAAGAAAACCAGCAACTGTTGACCAATCAAGACCGAAGGAGCCAATGCCAAGCCCTTTCATCCCTGATCCAATTTGTTGCATGGTGATCGACTCCTTAAATATCAAGCAGAGGACAGAGACTGTGGAGATGGCTGGGAAGAGATAGCCGGGAATGGCATAGTATGCAAAGCTGAATACAAAGATTACTACGAAGAATTGAAATTTTGTCAGGCTGCCCTTTCTTCTCTTCTCTTTTTGATGCAGTGTTCTTAAAAAAACAAAAGAAAAAGATTTGATTATTTATTTTAGCATAAAAGCAAGAGGATTATGAAAATTGAATTAACTTAATGATGAAGATTCACTACTTGAAGAGGGAAACTTGAACAAGATTTGCAGGCCACCACATATATGGAGATTCCACCAGATACTTTCTGAAAATTCCAGCCCAACCATAACCTAGCACCTGCAAGTATCAAATGTTCAAATAAATTACTTTCCCTCTTTCAAAGAAGCAAGCTTAGGTCATAAATATACATGTCTTAAAAGAAAGACCTTTCTGTTTTACAAGACAAAATTAATCATTAGCTAATATAGAAATTTTATAAGAAAAAACAGAGCAATTTATCTTCTACGGAGAATAAATGCAATTCTTAACGGATTTACTAAACCAAATATGAATTGAAATTCAAGCAAGGACTGACCTGAGTGGTTTGTGACAACAAGAAGGCAACAACAGGATTGATATTTCTGCGATAGAAAGCCCTAACAATGGTGACAATGTGTATAGAATAGACGCCGCCGGCACCAGAGTTGGCAAAAATGGTGATGAGACAATGCTCCTTCATATTGAATGGCCCAGGATTGAGGGAGAAAGTCCATTTGGTGAAAGGAACCTTGATGTTCTTCTTCGGCAAAGAAGCCGCGAGGAATCTGCCAATGGGCAGCGAGACGATTTGAACGCAGACTGGACCAATGGTAAGCTGATTCGTTCTGTAGCCGAAGAATTTGTTGGCAAAAGCGAGCATTACGCAGGAGATTGATCCGAGAAGCCATGTTCGGAAGGTCAGGACTGGGAGGTTAGGGTTGTCGGCGGGGTCGACTGTAAGCCGAACTTCTTCAATCGGGTGCTCGTTCTCTTCCACTGAAATCACCGTAAATGATATATATTGAATTCACATTTATTTTATTTATAGAGTAATTTACATGCAAAACATCTTATATCACTCTCTTTCAATTTTAAATATTTCATTATTATTATTATTATTATTTTGGAACGGGGTATCCGTCCGCTGCCACATCAGCTTGTGACGCGCTTGGCGATGTCCACTAATCTCTCGGCGAGTCTATCAGCAACCAACCCCACAGGTGCAGGACTCACAGTTATTTTCTCTCCACGTAAAGGGTCATGCCATATGAGAGGGGATTCGAACTTGGGATGGGAGGTTCCCAACCAAGCACGCCCACCAACCCACCTAAACCCAATGGGGCATATTTCATTCTTATCACCCTTATATAATTTTAAATATCAAATATGTCATTCGAATATTTCATTCATACCACCACCCTTACACCCTATAAAGTTTACTTTTTTATATCTAGCACACATATTTGATCTATGGGTGATATATATATATATATAATATTTAAGTTTCAAATATTAGATATATAAATAGAGTGATATAAGATGATATGTATGTAAATAGAGTGATTTGATAGGTGTTATTTATATTATATAACATTTAAAATTTTAAATGATATAAAAATATCATCATATTAATTTATTTAAAATAAAAGATATATATATATACAGCTTACCTCAGTCAACTGATTGAGAGTTTTGGTTACCAACCAAGAGGGTATTGGGTTCAAGCCTTACATATATGATAAGTGTGTGAGTTTATCTTAATTAGCCTCAAAATAATTTAAATGTTAAAATATTATATAAATAAACATAAGAATATAAATATTAGATATGCAAATATATAAATTTAGGTTATATATGTAAAATATTTCTAATTTTTATTATTAAGAGTGATGCCCTCTGAAAGTATATTTTTATATGATAATTTTGATGCAATTTTGATTCCATTTTAGATAGATTATAATTAAATTAATATGTTGTTTTATTAGCATTTTAGTTATATTGATAAATTTAGCATTCAGAAGTAAAAATATATGACATTCTTTCTCATTATAACTAATCATATTAAGGAAGTGGAGATTAATAAATTATTATGTAGATTTTTTTAATATAATAAATTTTTTATGTTAAAAATTAAAATTTTATGACAAAACTAATTAAAATTTAAAATTTAAAAATCCTATATTTTAAATAAATATCATTAAAGGATTTGACTAATTACAAAAAAAAAATCTATTAGAAATTTATCATTGAATCTTCATAAATTCGAGCCCAAGTTGATAATTATTTTTATTTCATATAATATATAACAATAATATAAACTACAAATAACTAAATTAAAAAAACAAAATTGAATTCTGAAAACAACCAAACTATTAAAACTGATTATAAGAACTGAAATTGGCTTTTGAAAACTTGCAGTTTAGGAACTTTAATGATCAAAGATATTCATTTTGACATTTTTCTTATAAACAAAAATTGACAAAAAAACATCAAAAATATTAACAATATCCATATTTATTAAACAAAAATGCAAGATAAAATTGGTCTAAATTGATTATTTTTAACCTCTCCTTAGATAACCATTTGAATAATAATTAATATTTAATTGTAATTTTGAAATCTAATATGTTTATAATTTAAAATTCTAATAGACTGATAATCTATATATTATGTGTGGGTAAGCCAAAAATAGATTGCAATTCTTACATTATTTAATAAAAATTCATTATTAATTAATATGAAACAAAATATTAATCCAGAATAAATAAAATTATCCATTTTTTTAATTTTCACATAACAGCAAGGTTGTAAAAATCATATCACTTGTAGAATCAGGAGAAGAAGAGATTCAAATTTAAAATTTTCAACCAAAATTGAATAATAAATATTAAAATTTTTTAAAAAAATTCAAATGTTATAATAATAATATAATAATTACGATTAAAAACAAATAATATTCATACACAAATAACATCTCGTATAATTTTCAATTTAAATATTTTCAATCTTTAAATTTAATTCAAATTAAATATAACTTTAATTCAAATATAATCTTATAAATTAAATATAAATTATTATTAATTTATGCTATATATTTAAGATCTATAAATTATATATCAAATTCACATCACCAATTAGTATCTATTAAAAAAGCCATAAATTTATTTATGATAAATATAACATATATTTTTTTATCATTAAATAGTTAAAGAATATGTAAAAACTAAAATGTAAAAAAAAATTAAAATTAAAATAAATACCTATCCACCCTTCGGCAAGCTCGAGCTTTGGCTGATGAGAGAGACCGACGATACAGTCGCCCATCGTTTTGTCCTTCTCCTTCTTCCTTCTCCTTCTCGGATTCTCTTCCTTTATTTAAATACAAAGCGTTGCGTATTTTTATACTCGATACGGTTTTTTGTCAATGCTTTTTTTAGACGCTTACGGTTATAACTCGGCGAACGATATTTTGCCTCGTAGCATTCAGCTCGTCCGTGGTGATCTGTTCGTTAACTAGAACGGTTTGAGTCTTTGGGAAGAGCCCGAGAAAACGGGAATTTATCGCTGAACGAGAAGATGCGGTGGTCTTCCATATTTCTCGGGAGGAGATTTCGGGCGAGGGAAGATACAATGGTTCTCCTGTATAAGACCGGAAAGCTGGGAGGGGAGATGTTCTAACCTTTTTTCCTTTTTGGGAAAATTTTAATTCTATATTTGGATTTTTCATTTATATAAAAACAAATATATTTATAATTATTTTTATGCTCAATTATTATATTTTAAAATATTTGTATCAATTTGTTAAAAAAAATTGTGTCAACTTATTTTTAATAAAAATATGAAAATGCTCACTATACTTTGGAATAAATTTATATAAATTATGGAGATTTATTGTAGAGATATAAATAATATGAAAATTGATTCGTCATCAAGAATGGCCTTGATCAGACAGAAATCTATATTGAGGTATATTTGAATTAAAAATTTTCAAAATTAAGTTAACGATCATATAAATTCATATTTCAACAAATCTATAATTAAATAAAACATCTCGACGAGACGAACACAGTAACAAAAAAAAAGTCAAATCAAAGCCTAAATGAGCTCAAATCAAGATAAAAAAGCATAATTAAAAATTTTAAGATATTAATTGGATGATCAAAAGATTTCATCAAACTTATAATAAAACTAAATGTTTGAACGAGACAAACCCAACGACATCAAAAATAGTCTAATATGACCCGAATGAACCCGCCAACCGCGATCCATTTAGCTACAATCTTCTAATCATTATTACTTGGCAACTCTGACACATGCTGACTCCATCGCCTATGTAAAATGCCAACACATATCTTCTCTTATAAGATTAATGCACGACATTTATATCAACTCTCCCTCAACTTCATCACTTTAATGGACTCTTGCCAAAGGGCTCTTCTAACTTCAACCAACTAATTTGTTATTTGTATCTTTTAAAAATTTTTCACTATTTTTTTTTATTTTTATGTGTTGCATATTCGTGTAAAGCTAAGACGTTAAAGCTCTATATCTCTCTAATGTCGTGAATGTTCCTGCACGCAACAAAGTAATTAGTTTTTTTTAATATATGGCTAATATTGCATAACATAACTTTGAAAAAATTATGCTATAATATCTTACTATAATTTCTTTCCTCAAAAGAAACTACCCTTAATCCAGATGTTTAAACAAATTACATTGATAAAACAATGAATTTTTGGAAGGTGGCTTTAACTCGGACAATTATGGTAACATTATTAAGTTGACCCAATTTGATATTTTTCCCACCAAATAAATTTGATAGACAATTATGGTAACAATATTGAACGTACCTAATTAAAGGAATAGTCATAAATCAAAATTGTTATTAGATGTCTTAAAAGTATATTTAATGTTGCTTAACCCAAAGCATTTAATATAAAGCAGGATTTACATACATAACACTTTAAACTTGCTTATTTACATATCTAATACCTAAAACTCTTAAAATACACATTCCACGTCTAAAATTTCTATATTACCTCATTTCTACCACTCTATTTTGTCTCCATGAGGTGCGTGTGAAAGCTCCTCATATGCTACTCATTCTTCTTATACACATTCCACGTCTAAAGTATATTTTTTCGCTAGCTTACGACCCCACCCCCCCCACCCCCAATCCTTCAGGGTTTGGGATCTTTGTTTGGTCATCCTTTAAAAATTAATAATGCCACCTCTATTGGTTCGAGCCCCTATGTTGCTCGTGTTCTGGTTGAACTTGATATCACCAAAAGCTATTTTGATAAGGCGTGGGTCGGCGCTGAAAACCTTGGGTACATTCAACATGTCAATATGGAGGAGTTCCCCTCCTTTTGTGATGTTTGCAAATCTTTGGGCCATTCTAAAGCTGATTGTTGTATTTTTCATCACCACTTAAATGATGATCCTGTTAATATACCTGAGTTGCCAACTAATGTTGATATAGCCACCACTAAGCTTATTTCAAAGGGGGTCTTCTATTGTTGTTCCTCACAACACTACCGTGGATAATTTTAAGAATCATTCATTGATTAATGTTGGTAATGTGGTTGGCCCTGTTGATTATGTTGTTAATTTAACTAATCAGGCCAATTTGAATGTTTTAGATTTTATTCATACTACTGATCTTGTCTCTAATAATTTAATTATTTCTCCTATTATGATTTCTGAAATTGAGGGGACTTTACCCTCTGTTGATGTTGGCTTGGAGCGACAGGGAATTACTAATGTGTTTGCCTTGTTGAAAATTAATTGTAGCCCCTTAGTTTAGAACCGTGCTATTGACCAAGAAATTATGATTGATTTGGTTGTGCTGGAATGTGAAGTTAATTAGGTGGATGTATTTGAGCCTTCTATAGAAATTTGCTAATTCCATGGATCCTAATGATCTGTCAATGTTCTCAAATTGAGCGGATATGAATGATAATATTCTTCTTATAGATGTTCTCATTTTGAACATTTTTAATGATGCTTTGCTTGCTCACTTATCATTGAAGCTGAAGCATATTTGTGTGGTTCAATCTGATTGGTTAGTTGATTGTATCTCACCAGCTAATTGAGATGTGGGGGAGGAAAATGAAGAACCTGGGGAGGATTTTGAGGATCTTTATGACTTGAATGTTGCTCAAATTAATGATAAGGCCTTTTACAAGGTGGTTGGTAAACGAAGCTGGAGGAAAAAAAAATGATGTTTTTCCTTGTATTAGTTGCTTCTTCTCTTCTGCAATGGGAGAAAACTTTGGGACTGGTCTGCTAATTGTGGTTTTTACTACTGTTGGTCCTTTTGTATGTTGGGGAGATCATTTTGGTCAGACAATGATGATGTGGGCTTCTTGCTCGCCCACCTGGATGGCCTTGGCTTGTTTTGACAACCTTGGTGGTTGTTTCACTCGTTTTGTTTGCTCAATTGTGGCCTTTGTTGGGGATTTAGGACTTCTTGTTGCTTGATTATCTTGTGGTTTTCCTTTGTATGTATTTTGGGTTGCTGCCTTCATTGGATGGTCCTAGCCTGACAAATGGGTAGCAAACTTTTCTGTTGGTTTTGCATGAAGCCTCCTGTCATTTCTTAAGCCCGGCAGGCTTCATGGCCTTCTTAACTATTTTTTGTTATTTTTGTTGCCTACACAATGACTTAATTTTGGATTATTTTCCCTTTTGAGGTTACTTTGGAATCTATAGTTTAATTTTTTAAAAAATAATTAAGTTTTTGAAACGATGATGCTATATATGGATGTATAAAAGAGATGTAAAATTGAATAGAAGCTATGTAGTAAATATATTCGAAGAGTAAATGATTTGAATAGATGTATAAAAGAGATGAAAAAACAAAAATAAGCTATGTAGCAAATACAATATAAAGGTAAACAACAAACGTTAGAAGATAAGAAAAAAGAGACAGGAGAAGAGAAAGAGAGTTAGTGAGAGTAAGAGTGAAATAGTAGATATGATATAAACATTTAATTTTTTATATTTTTAAGTTTCATATGGATTTTTACTATGTAATATAAAATTACTCAATATTACAATATCTTTGAGTTATTTATGTGGAATGTTTAATGCCTACAAAAATTATTGGTGGATAAAAATTCATAAAAAAATTTCTTGAAAATGTGTTTTCTTTATAGATTTTTTTTTTTTTTTTGTAATTTCTTTTTTCATAAAAAAATCAATTTTTATAGTATTCACTATCCTCATAACAACCAACTTTTATTTATTCACATTATAGATATGGCTCAAAATAATAGGAATAAAAACAATTGGTCTCTTGTGCTAAACAAGACACACAAATAGAGATTTTTTGCTAATCTTTTGATCTTATTTTAAATTTTTTATAGTGTTCATAACTTATTATACCAATTCTTAATAATTAATTGAGATAATATGTATGTATTATTTATCTCTCTAAGGAATATATCCAATATATTAAATTGAATATCCGGCTCTTACCTCATATGATAAATGTACTAGTTGGAGTTCCATAGAATAAAACAAAGTAATTAAATTATTCTTTCAAATTTAACAACGTTATTTAGGATATTCAATTCCCCATGCACCAAAGAATCTTTGTTAAAATATGCAGAGTATTAAGCTTTTTTTGGAATAATTTTCTTACTATTTTTTAAAGCAATATTTTAGTAAAAAAAATCTTGAAATTGTTTTTTTTTTTTGTACTTGAAAACAATAAATACAATTTAAATTTGTAAATAATTGTTAATTGTGTAAAAGGATATGAAATTTCTTCTCATGATGTTATAAATTTTAATGACAAATAATACTCCATAAAAATAGAACAATCATAACCCTTCACTCCAAATAATATTTTTGTAGCCATATATTCATGCTCTTGCTAAAATTTGATACAATCCATCTACCGTATTTATGGAGTTTAACCAACTCGCACACTGCTTCTGTTTTGATCTAATGTGATTGAAGCTTTCGATTTAAGCTTTAAGAGTTTTTCATTTTTCAAATCTTGGATCTCAAAATTTCTTATTCTATATTGCTTGTTTAAACTGATATAAAATTTTAATTTTTTATTATAAAAATGCTTTACAAAGGAGTAAAAAAAGCCATCTCAAACGAACTATTTACAAGTTATGTTTTTTTTTTCAGTTTTGTTTTATAATCAACCTAACATTGAATTTATTGTCAAGAAAGAATTCTCAATATATCATATTAAATTTTTTTTTTCATTTTAAACATTTTTTTTTTAATGCTTCTTAAAGCAATTTGCAATAAAAAATTAAATTTTTTTAACTAAAAAATTCCTTTAATAAGCAATAAAAAAACCATCCCAAATAAATTCTAACACTCATGAGTCAATGATCATAAACAATGTTAAATTTTTTTGTAAACACAGTTTAATCTTAATGGAGGCTAAATTTATTGACTTTATTATTAAAAAATACATCTATGGAAATCAAAATTTATATATTTTCACCAAATTTTTTTCTAATACAAATACTAATATATAATGAGTTATGACGCATGTCTTAGGTGGGAGATTATAAGACATCATTATTACTTGTCAACATGAATTTATATACTTTGGTAATTCAATAAACAAACTGAAACATTTTAGAATATATATTTTTTCATGCTAAGCTTTCTTAATATAAATATAATTTAGAGCACGCTTAGCATAACTATGCCATAATAATTGTTAAGTCACTCATAAAAAATAAAAATAAAAACTTATCAAGAGTACCATTTAAATAGCATGCCTTCGGTTACAAATATCATTTTATCATTTTTTTTTTCTCTATTTGTTTGTTTGATGAAGCATAACCAAATTGAAGCTTCAGAATGAGCATCAACAAGAAGAAAAATTATTAATTGTGATTAACGAATCATCTAGAGACCAATTCAAACCCATCACATCATTTGGTAGCATAACACATCATCATTAACCTCCAGACAAACGTAATAATATAGTCAGCTAAAACTCTACATTTGATTCAATAATTATGCCAAACCATTGCTACACGTTAAATCAAACTTAAATAGTATAAATTTAACATCACAAATTAAAATTTATTAACAAAAATAATCACAAACTTAACAAAATAGTTGTTTAGCAATTACATAGAAGGAAGCATCATGATCATCATCAAGTATAACGAGAGCCAATTGATTGATTTCCCACATGCACTGATTAGTGATATTCTTTGGTTTCATGAGTTAATTTTTACTCTCTAAAAGTCATAGAAACATTCTTACTTTTTTGTTCAGATCATTACTTTATGGGCAATTGATAAAAAAATAAATAGAGAAAGAATGTTAGCCTTTCCACATAATTACATATATTGATATTCTCAAAAGAGAAGCAAATAAAATATCACAACATTATAACATAACAAAAAAATTACAATAAAAATACTTGCATAAAAACAACAATCTTTCACGTTAAAAGAAGTTGGTGAAATATAATACAAATTTTCCGTATCTCTCCTTCGCATCAAGTTTAAACCAGAAGAAAAAAAAAAGTTTAGAAAATCTACCCAAATAGTCCGGCAAAAAATAAAATCTGATTCAAATATATCTTAACTATACAATCTGATTCAAATATAACATAATCGAACCTACCAAAAATTTTTCTATCAAAACTAAGTTAAACATATAAAGAATGTTCACTAATGATGCAAGGGAGAAAAAAGCCCAAACATAAACTAATATGAGAACAAAACCAGCAACAGCAGCAGGGACGGGAGCTATATGGGAAAAAATCCTACATTGACCAGTACTACCACCCGCAATAGATAGCATGTATGTGACCTTAATGTAACGGCCATAAGGTTTGTCTATAAACAAAAACATCACTAGATGCTAGATGCTACAATCGTCCATTTCAATCAACTAGCCAGCAATAAAGATCCGCTTCACAATACTTAAATAAACAGCAGCAAACAAGCCTATAGCAGGTCATTATCTTAAAAGTAACTCTAAATAAGGTTCTACAAATAAAATCCAAGTCTAGCAACAAAACGATAGCAAATGTCGCTACAAATAGATAACTAAGCCAATACAGAAGATGATTCTTCGGAACGATTGTTGAAAGACGAGCAAACAAGCCTATGGAACTTTCACGAACTACTTCTCTCGTTCATCATATAGTCTAGCAGGATATCTACTAGCAATCGTCTGACCCCCTTCTGATCTAAAGAGTTAGGACTGGTGCCTGAAATACCTGCTGAACTAAAAGAAAGAGGTGCCCTGCAAATACCACCCTTATGAACTAAATAAAACTGGTACCTGATAGAATACCTTCTGAACTAAATAGGATTGATACCTGAGAAACACCTATGGAGCAGAAATGGCAGCAACCTATCTTGCATATGGGTGGTACCGACCTGTAGGTCCAGCACCAGCACCATAGCTTCCCCTACCTCCATACAATCCACCGCCACCTGAGCCATAGCCAGCACCTGGACCAGAATCATAACCACCTCCATAACTAGATCCACCGTAACCCCCAAAGCCCTCGTCACGACCATATCCCCCACCACCAAACCCACCACCGCCATATCCCCCACCAAAACCTCCACCATATGAGCTGAGTCGACTAGAGTAACCGAGCGATGACTCACCTCTATAACCACCTAGGCCTCCACCACCAAAACCTCCATATCCACCACCTCCGAACTCATCAGCACCACCACCATAACCACCAAGCCTAGGGCCCAAACCTCCTCCGCCTCCTCTATAGGATGAAGGGCCAAATCCACCACCTCCAAACCCACCAAAAGAGCCTCCACCATATCCACCAAGTCCATCACCATAAGAACGATCCCTAAATTCACTACCATAATGAGGAGGTGGTGCACTAGAGTTTTTCTTTGGTTCGGCTTTCTTGATCTCCACCTACAATAAAGCATGAACAATAAGCTATGTCCTTTAACTACTGCTCTAGACAGTGAAATCTTAATATTATTGCTTATACCTGCAAGATAAAAGGTCAAACTAACATAAAACAAACTAATGTAGACACCTAAGACATTTAAGGTTGAAAATGAGGTCGTGGACAGGAAATTATGAACAGCCATTCAGATGATGCAAAGAAAAAATTTTACTGAAAACTGTAGAAGAAATGGATAACTTTTTTCTGAGAAAACAATTGAATGGCTCCACAAATATGAATGACTGAAGTTCAAAGACCAGTATGAGACCTAAATTCCTAATTACACGCATCACATAACTCACCTGACTACCAGCTAGGTCTATCATATTGCCATCAGACAGTAATTCATCAACAACTTTCTCAGAATCAAAGATTATGAAACCAAAGCCACGTGATCGCTTGGTGACATGATCACTAATGATTTCATGCTCCAAAACCTTGCCATACTTGGAGAAGAAACTCTTGAACTCATCTAATAAACAAAAATAACAACAAATTAATTTATACATTATGGCGACAATTCGTATAACACAATGAATGCATCCAAAAGAGAACAAATACCTGATGTCACGGTTGATGGTATACCTCCAACAAAAATCTTCTTTGTTTTGAAATCCTTTGACTGGGCAGAGCCTTTCGGAATGGTTCTTTTTATCTCAACCTTTAACATCACATAAAATAACATCAGGTACAATAAGAAACGCTAAACTTCAATCAAATACAGGTCATAATAGGAAACGATGGAAAGAGGGCAACATTCTTGCATACAAAATTTTGAAAACAGTTCCAAAATTTCTAAACCAGAATTAAAACAGTACTGAAAATACATCGAATGCAACTAAGACATTTGCATTAAAAATTCTATAAATAAATTATTATTATCAATAAATAAGAGCATATCAAGTATAATATTAACGCCTAGAAACAACAAAAGTAATATCAGGTTGATACCTCACAATTCTTTCAGTAAAAAAGAGGCTTAATACCAGAAACTTCTCAAGAGTAATTACCTGTTTCCCATTTATGACATGGTTGTCCTCTATGACTTTATCAACAACAGAAGGATCAGAATATGTAATGAACCCAAATCCCCTAGGTTGTTGAGTGAATCGATCTTTCATGATTACTGAGTCTATGATTTCACCATACTTCCCAAAATGTTTCAAGAATGTAGCTATTGAGCCAAAACAAGTGGTGTTAGAAAAAACAAAATAAGTAAGACAAAGAACAACGGCATAGTATGAACATAGCAACACGTCTTAGTACAATCATTTGTCATAAAAGAAACAGGCAACTTGCAAAATGAAACAAAATCAAAATGAGCATGACCCAAATAGCAAAGTAGCTATTAGTAAAGGTTTGATCCACAATAAACTACAACGCATAAGAGATATTGCCACTCCTAATAAATTTGAGTGCAGAATGTTCATGATGAATGTGCCATGATATATTCCATAAGAAAAGAATTGAGTTTGCAGCTCTGTTTAGAAACAAGCAACGATTCATTACAAGAGAATTCTTAAAGTTCTCAGGATGATGATGTATTGCTAGAAGCATTTACTTCCAGCAATGACCCATTTCTAATGAAAACATGCCTACATTATCAATCATAAAATAGATAAATCAGAAAAAAAAAATGTTACAGTTTTGCTAGCCAGGCCTAATGCATCCCTAACAACAATAAAAACCTTCCCTCCCAATATTGAGTTGCTTTGAGCATGGCAATTCTAGGAATGCATTAATGGCTCATGTGGTTTCTGAATTTACTTAAAACAAAACTTTTCAGCACATCTTGGGCTCCTTATGGAGAAGTGAATTACATCTACTGGGCAAAGATGGAGCAAACTTTCAAAGCACTGGATTCTGGTTATTTGCAAGATCAAACAAACTTTACTTTCTCGTACCAGCATGCAGCTTATTATTTCCATTGTCAAATTCTTTGGATGACAATGTCATAAATTTGGTGACAGTATACTAATATATCTAGACATTTGACTTGCAAAAATGTAGACTATCTATGCTACTACTTAAAAGATGGCATGTGATTACCAATTTATTATCACAATATTTTAATTTTAAAAACATCAACACTCTTTTGTTAAACCCTTCTCTTTGAATTCTGAAGGATGCATATGATTCTAAAACCTAGAATTCAAAGCATAAAATTGTTAATATGTATAAATATTACAAGAATAAAAGTATATAAACTCATGTAAATACCAAAAGTTAATTATAATTTTGAACAGAGACCTTTAAAAATTTTATAATAACCCCTAATCTAGAGTTGTATTATATCCAACAATCACCATTGAGCCCATATATACTAGAGGAATCATATAGAATGATAAGCCAAATTATATTAGACCAAAAGCTTCTCCAAATATGTTATTTCCTTAATTAATTTTACTTGCATCCCTTCTCTTTTCCAACTATTTTGCAACCAAATGTAAATTATTATATATCCCATAAATACTCCTTATTTATATGTATAACTTTTAAATGATAATGAAAAACTATACTACTTATTATATTATAGAAAATGCAGCAAAGAGACTTTAATTAATCCTAATTTTCAATATCTTAGGTAGACTATAAATATAGTAGACTTGAGAAATATACCTTTTCCGTGTATAGGTTCCAAGAGGAGACAACTAAAAGGTAACATTAATTTTCCATAAACATTAAATTCATTCATTTGCATATCCCTCATATGATCACCCTTCTAGGTTCAATGGGACAACAAAATAAATTTTTATTGTCCCAAATAGAGTATCTACAAACATCAACAATATCAAGCATTTATCCCACCACATGGGGTCGGCTACATAAATTCTTTTTCTCTATTATCCTTTAACGAGTTAAAATCTCATTTAAATCTAATAAAGAAAGGTCATTTCTAATACTTTCAAACTAAGTCTTTTTAAGTCTACTTTTTCCTTTCTTAACATAAGCCAAATGGAACACATCTACTCTCCTAATCGGATCATCAGAAAGCCGCCATTTTATGTGACCAAATCATCCAATGTGACTCTCTTATAATCTTATCTTCCACTAGAATTCTCCAACCTTTTCACATATATGCTTGTTTCGTAACATGTCTCTAAGAGTAAAGGCATTTATCCACCTGAGCATCCTCGTTTCTACAACACTTAACTTAATATTATAATTCACTTTTAATGACTAACATTCTGCACCAAAGCTTGATGCATTCCTCTACTTTCAACCATCCAACTTGAATTCTACTAATAATATCCCCATCTATTTCACCATCATTCAAAACAATAAACCCAATATATCTAAAATGTATACTCTTATTAATAACTTGATCACTCAAAGTCACAATCCCCACACTAGATCAATTACTACTATAAATACACTCCATATATTTGGTTTTAGATCTACTTAAACGAAAAGCTTTAGAATCTAAGATTAACCTCCATAATTCAAGTTTACATTCAACTCCCTCTCTAGTCTAATCAACATCAAGAATATCATCACCAAAATGCATACACCAAGGTACAAACACTTGCAAATGTCTGGTGAGAACATATAACCAAAGAAAAAATATATCAACCTTAAGCCCATATCTTTTTTGCTTTAGTCAGAGCATCTACAAGGAAATTTAACCCTTTTAGTTTACCAACATTCAATGTTCCTCAATATTTGCTTACCATTCACTGTCATCTTAGATTGTTGTTAAATTTCTCAAATAATAAAGCTTTATATAGTAAATCGATCATCACATTTGCTTCATATTGTAATATATATATATTAGACATCAAAAATGTTTTAAGTTTGTTGTAATTTTCTTGTTTATTTTATCGTTGCTTTTCAAAACATTAATCTCCTTTCAGCCTTTTAAATTTTAATAGAACAGAAAATACACATGATTAATTAATATCATGTTCAAAAGTTTAAAACCAACAAATTATATAGCCACCTTAAACAAAGTTACTAAAAGCATTATAAAAATAATAATATACATCTATATGGCTACTAATTCTACTACAAATTTTATATTTTATATATGTAGCAAGTAATGCTAGCCTTATCATGCCTATATTCTTTGCCATTTTTGCCACCATATACCATGCTTCACAAGCAGTGGCATACAACTTTTGGTTAACAAGGCCTAACATAATTTAAATAAAAATATGACAATACTAATACAATAATTTCCACTTTAGTCTATAAAGCATTGTAACTAGATACAAAATCAATATCTTATAACGTAGTGTATAATTTACTCAACAATATGTCAGGCACTGAAGGCCGTATACCGAGTGAAACAATTTTCTACAATGAAGCTGTCCATTGTTTGAAATGTACAAAAAGATAACAAAGTGCATGGCCCTTAGAATGCAAACATCATGCAAAAGTATACAACTATCAAATTAAACACAACTTGGTCGTGTAAATTTACGGAAATAAGGAAAATTTTTGGACTGCTTGAATCCAGAAATTCCTAACTATAACAATTGAAATTCTCAAGAGAAATCAATGACCAAATATATCTACACATGTTACAGGAAATGAAAGAAAATATACATGGAAGCTACAAGTGAAAATCCATTTGAGACAAAGGCAAGCCAAAAATCAAGCCAACTATACTAAATAATGTTTTTTTATTTTTAAATATCATTTTTAACAATATAAAAATACAGTTTATTTGCAAGAATTAAATCATAGAATATATTGCAATCCGGAGGTGGTCTACAATAAGAAGAATTAACCTTAAAAACAAAAGATCCAATACGTGCAGCCGCTAGGAAATAGTAAAGAACAAGGAAAAATACATCTATAGTACTATAACATAAAACCTTGAAGATCAAACCGCGCAGATCAAGTTGAAAGTAAAAAAAAAAAAAAAACTATTAAACCAAATCAAACTATAACGCCGAGAATCTTCACTATAACAACAGGAAACACACTTTTCTAGATCATTGTATCATTAAAAACTAAAATCTTTCAATAAAGAATAGAACTAACCTATGCTCGTGTCCTTGGGAAGCCCGCCGATGAAGATCTTCCTGTATGCCAAAAGAAGTAATATTAGAGGACGAAGACAGATCTAACAGAAAATAACTAAAAAACATGTAATAGGAGAAGACATCTCACCCGGGGCTTGCACCATCGTGCTCCGAGTTCTTGGGATCGTCCTTCCTGGAAGCCATGAGATCCTCCTGACCAAGACCGCAAGGGTTACGCTTCTGGGAGGCGCACAACGAAGGCTAGGGTTTTGAGTCACGGATAAAGAAGGGGTATTTATAGGGGCCTCGGCCTAAAGATGCTCCGTCGGTTTTTCTGGAGAGGTAAATATTTAGCGATCTGGAAGCTTCCTCTCGCTCCTCTACCTTTAATCTGCTGGACCGTTCAAAAAATTGAACAACTTCCTTATGGCTACAAAAATATAACAAACCTTGTTATAAAAATCCCTTTCGCAACATAAAATTTTAAAAATAAAAAATAAAAAAATTTATAGCAAGAAAAGTGTGGTAATAATGTGTATAATAATAAAGCTATAAAAAGATTATTTCAAATGCACCCTAATTACTAAGGATTTATTTGAATCTACCGTTGAACTATAAAGAGATAAGTATATTTTTTAGACTTTTTGTCACTGTTTTTTTTTTATTATTCTTTTATTATTATTTTTGATTGGGGATATTACTCTTTAGGATTTTTTTTTTTTTACAGTAGTAAGTTTTGCTCTTTATTAAGGACTTGTAATTTCTATCAATATATATATATATATATATATATATATATATATATCTC